GGTTTGATTCTGGTACAGGAGGGTAAGATGGTACCATATAGTTACTTCCTCCTGAAACCATTGGAGGCTGAAGAGGTTCTAATGTCTGCCCTCCAATGATAGGTGCAGTGATGGGAGAAGGAGCCTCAAAAATTTGATGGTTGTTGCTGTGGTGTAAAAAATAAGATATATATATACAACCTACTGTTTAATCATTGTTAAAAAAGACTTTTACAACTTGCATAACCTTAAAAAGACTAATAATACTCAGCTATTTTTTTTTTATAAGAAATGCATCTATGAGGTAGGAGAAATAAAGAAATGAAATCAAAGCAAAATATTTTAATAAAATTCCATGAGTTAATTCAAAGTCTTGTTTTTCTTAAAGTGATTCAGTAATATTTTTATTGTTACAACTCAATTCATAAAGCAAGTTAAAAAGACAAACTAACTTAACTAACTCAGGTATAGATTTGACCTTCCCATATTCCATCAGAATACAGTACCCAGAAGGGACTAATGCATGCAGCATTTAAGTTCTAACCAAAGAAGCAAGACTGAGGTTCAAGCACAGTTTCAGATTTCACTTCTTCCAAAACTTTAAAACAAATATAGAACTGTTTCATAAGCTAACTCTATCATTTCACATCAAGTCAGTGATTAAATTAATCTTGACAATAAATACTATTGATTGTTTGTGATTTATTTGAAACCACAATAACACAAGAAACTCCTACAAGTCCAGCTTAATATTTCACCTGAGAAAGTAATTTTTGAAAGTTCTTGAATTGTAAGTTAGTATAAAATCAGTTACAATCAGTTCAAAAAATCTTTAGGCTTAACCATATTTGTCTCTTTGGAGAAATAAGGAAGCCAAACATATTTCAATGGATATATATGTTACACTCACACATTATTGTACAGTTATACTAGTGTGGAAAGTTACTTTTAAAAACACCATTAATTTCTATGTACTGACTCAGGCTAAGACATTTTACAAACTTAAATGATCTATCACAGATTCTACAAGTTTACAAACTCATACTGCTAATGTGCTAAAGTTCCACATAAATTAGGTATATCTATTTTAAAGTTAGCACCTTTCCCAGTGAGGCACACACACACACACACACACACACAGTTTTAATGTTAAAAGACTTTTAGTGAAATATTTGCACACATTTTGAAAAAATGTTAAATATCAACAAGACCTTCACAGCTTTTTAACAATCACTGGCTACATCTTTACAGGTCTACTAAATACTGATAGACACTTAGATCAAACATTACTACCTTTATATGTTACTTAACATATCTTTGAAAATGTTCTAATAAGTGACAGTTGTGCACGTTTATAGATCACGATCTACAGTTGTTGCTTATTTGAGCCCAAACAAAACTAGTTTGTATATAAAGTAATGAATGATTAAATAAAAAACCTGTACCTTTACAGCACATTTTAACATTGGGGGATCATTCCACCCAGGTTTTGACATTTCATAACTCCCCCCAGACGAATGTGTCAGCATCATTGGATTTGCAGGACTGTAATGAGGCATAGTGGCTGCAAAAAATTATCATATACAAGATCTCTAATTACTCTCTTGTCATTTTATTCCATATATAAAATTTAATTGCAAACTAATATACATCATGAAAAACTTGGTGGATAACTATTATATGGAAGCTTTTAATTTTATTAAATTCACAGTCAGAAAAACTTAAGTCAAGTCAATTCTTAAACTATGTTATTACTTGAAGAAGTAAACTTAACAAGAGACCTATATTCTAATACTTCTAGTACCAGTAATCAGTGCCAGTGTTGTCCAGAAACAATAAAATTAGTTCACTTCTAAAACTTAAAAACTGATATAAACCTAGATTATATTACAAACACTGTCTTAAAAAACAAAATAAAACGTTTATTGCCAAATCTATTTTCTTAAAATTTTTTGGATTGGGAAAATATAGTTATAATTTTTGTTTTTGCTGCCACTGTTTCCCCTTTCTACCCTCTATTCAGTCTTCCAGGGCTTTTAAATGACATTATTTTAATGTGGTAAATTACATACTTTTTCTTAACATACTTTACAACTTCACGAAAGACAGAAGAAATTTCGTATATAAAAAGTTTCTGTGCGAGATTGCTTTAGATATTTTATGATAAAAAAAAAATGTACTGTTTATATTGCAAGATGTTTGTAAATCTTCAATTTCTATCTATGTATAATTCATCTCTGAGATTTGCACTGCCTTATAAAAAAACTTGGCTTACTGCCTACTTTGTTCATTACAACACAATCATGTTTAGAAAATTTTAACAAACTAATATCGTAAATTATGGAACATAAGACATATGCATACAGTATATAAACTAAAGTTGGGTAATTTACTCAATCAATATAACTGATTACTTATGGACATCAATTACATTGATTAGTGTCACATAAAATAATCAATTAATGAAAATCATGATTAAATTGATTAATGTCAGGAAAATAATTAAGTAGTATTTCCAAATTATTACTGTTTCACCTTATTCCACCTGTCCAATAATTGTAATTATAACTAAATTGATTAATGTCATAAACAACTAATCAAAATTAATATTTCTGATTATTCCAATCAACAGTAATCAAAATATTGAATATATTATTATTATTCATTACTCTTTTCAGTTAATTCAAGTTTGTTCAGCTTAATCCTGTACAGAGCTAATCCATTGGACACCACCTGTATCTGTGAAGTTATACACTAATGTTACTATAATTCTAAATTTATTACATGTATGCAGAACATGATCTATAAAAGACTTAACGAGACATCAAAACATGTAGAGTATATGAAACTGTTCTCAGTCTCACAGTATTTTTTATCTTTATACAGTATAACTATTAAGTTAAACAATTTTTAATATTTAGTGACATTGGACGGTCATATTTTTAATTATTTATTGTGAACTATTAAATGTTGGTTTTAATGGGAGGCAGAGTATTCATGATGAAACTTTAGTTAAATCATCATCTCGCAGTATTTTATCTTTATACAGTAAAATCATTCTTATTGTATTTTAACACAGGGGACAGTCTCATTTTTAAACATTTATTGTGTTGCATTAAACATTTGCTTTATTTCTTTAATACATCTGCATGAAAACTTATACAAGTGTTGTCCTAATCTTAATGATTATGTGTATCAATCTTATGAATTTTTAGTAAACATTACAAATCTGTTATAACAAAAAAATCAGATCTTCTAATAAAGTATTTTTACTAATGGTGTGCTTAAGAATTTACAAAACTTTTACTAAGCCAGTCTGAGTGAAAGGTGATTTTCATGTTGAGATAGCCCACTGTGTAGTTTTGCACTAAGGAAACAACTCTTTCAATTTTCTGGTTTTATTGCTAACAGTTTTGATCACTGTTTTCCTTCAAAAGCAATAAATCACAATGGAAGAACATTAACAATCTTTCATAAATACCACAAGTAAAATACATGAAGCGTGATATTTGTACTCACTAGCATAACTGTGCTAGGCATCAATTTTTTTTATCATTGAAATAATTGTTCAAGTAAAAATTCAAAGATTATCAAATTTTAACATATATATAACATTTATAATGTCTTTTAAGGAACAAACCTGAATTGCCAAAATTTGTTGGTTGATAAACTGAAGCTGGTGTGTTAGCTATGGTGTAAGTAGAAGCTGGAGCTCCAAAACTAAATGTTTGCAACAAAAAATAGAAAAGAAGTAAATTAAGTCAAAACAAGTATACAAGCACCAGGTACATATAATTCCAATGACCATTATTTAATAAAATAACTTCGATTTAATATCTAAACATGGCAAAGGTAATTCCAAGTGTTAACACAGTCAACAGGTAGGACAACTAATAACAAACCATTTTAACATTAAAAACTTCTAGTTCATTATGCTTGAAAATAAACTGTAAAATTTTAATGTAAATAAATTTAAATATTTTCAAAACATTTTAACTCAATATTCTTCAACTGAAATTTTTGGTACCTCCTATTATTATTTGTACCTTGTTAAATTTTTTATTAGTAGTGTTTAAGGATCATTAGAGAAACATGTCTGCCACAAATACTCTTTTTCTATTTCACAGTGATTAATAAGGATTATTACAGGTGGATTTAGTGTATCAAAACAAGTTGTTTTTAATAATGTAACTTAAGCCAAAGTTGGATATAAGACAAATTAAGACCATAAAATAGCCTGAAACTTAAACAATAGAAATATCATTTGAAAAGGAAAAGAAACACATAAGCTATATAAAATATTACCTTTGTCCAGGATTGTAGAAACTTTGTTGTACAGACTGAGGTTGAAAATACCCCGTCTGAGAATAAGGGACCTGGTTCTGAGAGTATTCATACTGAACTGATGGGTAGAAGTTTGACTGGTACTGTGGGTCTTGATACACACTTGGATCATGAAGGTGACGAGGATATCTTTGTGATATGTGATGTGTTTGATCTAACAGAAAATCAAATATGTACATGTGTGTATGTGTATGACAAAAAAAAACGTTCAAAATTAAACTAAAAAATTAACAATTATTTTTCCATTACCAGTCCTTATCATCATTAACTCATAACAGAAAATGTCTGTGGCTATAGCTCTCAAACACATTGGGGATATTCCACCTATCATACAAGATCGAAATGCAGATGTCAAACTAGTCAGCAACTATGGAGAATCAGTTAAGGGTTAGGAATTAAGTGCTTGAACTCCCAACATCTCACCCTTAAAGTAGATGTAAACCACCCTAAGTTTCTACAATGTAAACTTCCCAACTTTTATCCTTTTCTTTAATATTATAAAATGTACAAAAAAGAAAAGTCAAAATATTCTTGTCTTAAAAATAGACCACTATGTTTCTACAACTTATAAGACACCCAACATTAACCAACACAGCACTTACTTAAAGAAGAGCTCTGATCAGAAGCTTGTGGAGGTGGTGGAGGAGCTGCTGCTGGTTGACTAGACTGTCGCATAGGTGGACCCAGAGGACTTGGTGGAGCTGGTGCTTGATACTGAGTCATGGTGGTAGGAGGATAGCCATATGATGATACAGGAGGAAATTGTGTGGAATATGGTGTTGCCTAAAGAGAAATGTAAGTTCAAACTTAAAAAACAAAACAAATGGCAGTACCTAGTTCAAGTCAAAGTCTCAAAATCATTCAATAATGCACTAAACAAGCAACTATAGCTTTGGGCTCCAATGTTTAACTGTTACAGCTGAATGACTTGAAAAAACACTACTTAAATTTCATGCATTATGTATCAAGAGTTATAATAGAAGAAAGTACTATTAAAATTTAATCTCGACTTGTTTACATCATGACTGAAATATATAACTACACTCATGTTACTGTAGCACACCACATTGTACATACTATGATGAACAAATCATACTATGATTCAACTTGGGAATTAATATGCAAGATTTATGATTTTAATGTGAATGTTCTTAATGTGTTTCAATAGTATGTCATCACGAAGATGACTGATCAACCAGCTATCATGTTGATAACACAGGCCTGCAATGATTATACTGTCTTGAAAATTTTACATGTTATACAGTAACTCCTGTACACTGAATCCCAAAATGATATCTATTTTTCTCCATCACATACAGATTTTTCATAAAATATAGTATATACTTTTACATAAGCAAATCATTTTCATTGAAATCGGGTCACATTTTTTTATGCTTAAAATGTTGACAATCACTGGCTATAGATTTCTCTAGACCAATTGTGACATGAGAGTCTTATTGATCATTCTAAAACCCAAACATAACAAACATAATAATAAAAAATGTTCATTATGGTAAACAAAAATAATAATTTGATCTAAGTAAGAGATTTTTTTCTTCCCAATTTGTAAAAAGTCCTCATGTGATAGAAAAAAAATTAATATTGTTATCAAAATCAGCATAGCTGAATTATGAAAAATCCATTATTAAAATAAAAACAACTTTTATGAAGTTTAAATTTGCAGGCCTGTGTAATTATTATTCTTACACTTTTTTTAGAACAGTTGAACAGTGTAAATTTCAAAAAGCCTTAAAAATATATTACAATATGTATTATAATTGTATTGTTTGTTTGTTGATTTTCACACAAAGCTACTCAAGGGTCTATCTGAGCTAGTCGTCCCTAATTTTGAAGTGATAAGACTAGAGGAAAAAGAGCTAGTCAACATCACCCACCTCAAACGTTTGGGCTACTTATTACTACTGTATTGGGATTTGACTGTCACTCTTATAATGTACCCATAGACATAAAATATGGAGCATGATCGTAATTTCTTTTTGATGGTAATGAGGCATGGACCACAGTCCAGCATGCTAATCACTGGACTGAACTCAACCCATTAATTTTCTAATAAAAAATAAATATTGATACCTGAGGCATAGTTGGGACCTGAGATACCATTTCAGATTGAGGTTGTTGTTTGTTTTGGGACACCTGTTGCTCTAAAGTCACTGCACTCTTTACCTCAACATGCTGGAATGGACAGTTTGGTGATTGCAGACCAAGACAGTGATAAATTCTGTCTTGTAGTAATGCCAGAGATGGCTGTAAAAAGATAACAGTATCAACCTAAATAGAAATTAAGATTTCCAAAATCATTTCTTTTAAGATTATGTTGATAAACTTAAATTTCACACACAGTCAAAGCAATTCACAAGACTGGATAATTTCTAAAAGCTGCATACCAAACTGTAACAAGTTCATACGTTAACAGAACAACCACGTAACATCTTAAAAATAATTTTAAATACATCTTTTTTCTACTATGTTAGTCAGCAATTACATACTCAAAAGCTGAAGTCATATTTTCATGAATGCTAAATGTAAAAAAAATACATATCATAATCCCTAATTTCTTTTTTTTTTCAATATATGTTAATTTGCTAACTAGTAGAGTATAGGCTATTCTATCAAAGTTCTAGTACAGTTTTCTTCAATCATATTTTCTTTTTAAATCAGTACTTTAATTTAAGGGTGCCTCTAATACTGTGCTACATAACAAAATAAAATCTTAACATACCTCAGATGTGTCAACTAGATAGGTGACAGCACTAGACAAACTTCCTTGAGCAGCAAGAAGAGTAGCATATCTCCCAAGTAGAGATGACAATGTTCCTGTTTTTAATTGTGGAGACTGCCCTCCCATCTGTTCTACAGCCTTTCTTAATACCATAACTTGTTCTACCAATTCCTTCAACAGGAAAACAAATCTTCCTTTAACTATGTCATTTTATTATAAACTACAAAAGACTACTATATGTCACTTTTAATACCATGATTCCTGTTATGAAATGTAACAATGCAAAAAAAGGGGAAACTATGATGCTTGTTTTAAATATAGTTTATTTTCAATCAAACACATGACTGTTCAGTTTAGAGTAAGCATAAATACTTGGCATATCATGACTCCAATATTTACAAAAAAAAAACTCCCCTTTATACGAGTGCAGTATATTCTAGTTTCTAAATCAACTCATAAAAAAAAAAGCATTATTTGAGAAAATAATTTCCCTTTGATAAAGAGATTTGGGTATTTATAAAACAGTCTACACAAAATTTAATCCTTTTTCTGTTTTAGGTCATTTGATGGTTTTTATGGGTATGCTTATTTGACTACTTACCCAAGTGGGTATCAGTGAAGCATATCCTCCTAGTATTCGTAAGAGTGGAGTAGACAGTTTTAGCAGTTAAATATTTCCCGAGTATCATACAGGACTCTCAAACGTGTCACAATGTGATTATTACGTCTGTGAATCACATATGATACTCAACTAACTCTTCTAATCTCATACACTGAACCAAAACAATCAGTTCCTATTGCCACATTCACAAGCATCAGCTGCATATTAAATAGACATAATTGTGAATCACATGTGATGCACAAGACAGGGATAGGGTGAAAGTAAAAAACATTATTCTCTCATTGACAAGACCTTTCAACAGGTACTTTTACTCTTTTACTTGAAAAAATCCTGAAAATGTAGTTTCTAAAGAATAAAAATACACTTTATAACAAACTTCCTGGCTCAGGGAGAAGATTAAGTGATCATCGTTCAGCCAACACATCAATCCCTGTAAGATTGTTTCTGTGCTACTGGTTCACACTGATTAGTTTTCATCACAGCCAGGTTGTGAGTCCATAGTTCAAGTGTTGTTTTTTTACTTATTTCTTCAAAATCACGTAGTGGCATATTTTACTGTAATATTCCTACTTATTTGTTCTAACACTATTCCTGTGGTGTCTTAATTATTACTCTCTTGAGAATATCAAAGTTAAAACTTCAGTATCAAGTGGGTTGTGCTTTTCCAAATTAATAAGACTTTTTGGTAAAATCAGTAATAAGCTGTGAAAATGCTAGAATTTTTAGTGTTTTCCTATTATATAAACTAATAGAAATGCCACTGTCCGGGCAGCTATTTGTGCTAGTAATTAGTAATTGTAGAATTCAAACCCCACTGTAAAAAAATGTAAAAAAAAAAATTTTTTTAAGTATTTTTTTCTGGGAAGTACTGCATGAGAAAAGTGTTCAGATTGTGCTCTTTACTCAAATGCAACTCATTGCACCAAAAGTTTCACAAATTTTACTGATATAAACTGTGATGTTTTTATATATTAAAAGTAAAGGTGTGGAGATACAGCTATACAAGTATTGTATTGTGAAGCAGAGATATGATTGTATCGATATATTGTCTGATATTATACAATTTACGTATCTTCACAAAATCTCGCAAGCTTTCAGTAAACATCACAAGTCTTTTGTACAGAAAAAATCAGAATTTCTAATAAAGTATTTTTGCCAAAATTAATGATTCAATAAAGGAATTATGCAAAGTAACATAAAAAATTAACAATAATAAAATAGATACAGATATTAACTTTTTTTTATTTTACTTCTCTTGCCAGCT